CCTATTAGTTTTTTGCAATAATCTAAAAACAATAACAAATATTTGCCAGGTAATACCATATTCTGGGAAAAGGAAGCTGAAGCCTATAGTAACATTTATGAAAAAAGAGATTGAAAAGGCCAAGAAGGAGAAAGCAAAGGTAACATACTTCCTTCTCACATGATTAGAAATGAATTGTGCCAACTCACCATGCTGTGATTTTGTATATTCTGCAGGAGGAGGAATTGAGGAAGAAATATCTGAAGGCTGCAGTGAAAGAGGAACTGTAATCACTTATTCATTTATAAGGCTGATTCATAATCTTGAGTGTAACAAGTATTTTCAGTATATACAGATACTTGCTTTCTTGAAAACAAGATACCAAGGTTCTGCTGGTTACCCAGTGTTACGGTTTAAGATGCATCATTATGACAATTCACACATAACCTTCATTTCCAGTAGAGGGAGCCTGTTTCAAACTGCTGCCTACTTACTAAACAGAGCACTGCAACCTCATACCAACATTAAAAACAACTTTCAGGTCTCTGAGACCTATATGTTGGCAAGAAAAATTTAGGCATAATGTAGTTAAGTAAGATAAGGATGCCAGTCAAGGATTATGAGTGGTCAATAGAGCATTCCAGGGAAGCAAGAGACCATAAAGGGAAGGGAAGACACACCATAAGACTGGAAATGATGATGAATTTGCTTAATAAAATGACATTCGAATAAAAATTGTGACTGATGTTTATAGGCACAGACTCAAGACTCACTTTCTATAATATTTAGATTAACCATGACTGATGGAACCACAAGAACATACACAAGTCTAAAATATTTCACACATCTTACACATCTTGAAATATAATGTCAAATGGTGAAGAAATTACACAATTAGCCCGTTTGACTTTAAAAAAAACTAGTGCTGTCAAACATTTAAAATATTTAATCGCATTAATGTCAAAGTTAACTCGTGATTAATCGCACATTTTAATCTGTCCTAAATGTCTTTTATTTTTTCTCAACTTAATGCTCTTATCAACATGGGAAAGTGGATCGGCTTGCTTTGTGCAAATGTTTTTATTGAAAACAACGTTGCCATATACTGTGTTCAATTTCACACTAGCATTCTCATTTAGAGCAAAAAAAATCTCTCAATGTAACACTGTCCATCCACCTCGGGAATGAACATCTTCCAGTCATACTGATGGGATGTACATAGGTTGTGATGTCAGTCTTACAGCAAGCAGGAGGAATCTTTACCTGGTGCCAAGAAGTAAATAGAAAGTTACAGGCTATGCACGAGATGGATGACGTGACCTCTTAAAGAGATTAGGTTCAGTAAACCCTAAGATCCTTTAATTGGGAAAACGCTTATACACGTGTGGATCAGATACACATACTAATGCTTGTTGAGCACTTGAAACTATAGTAGTAAAGAGAAGATCTGTATTTTCAATATTAAATTACAATGTACACACAACACTAACCTTTATTACAGACATGTATGCAAGGATTGAGTTGGGTTTAACCAATGTGACTGAGAAAAAGAAGCTACTCTAGCCTACTCTCATTTGCATGATTACTACCTTTACAATCCCACGGTTTAGCAAGAGTGCATTGAATGTTTACATCTCGATACGTTATGCAACACTAAGCCGCAAGTATTAAGCTTAAGGATTCACACATTGCCTTGGCCAAACCCCTTTCCCAACAGCCTATAAATAAGCAAGGTATTCCTGCACGCTATTTCCACAGTGGCTGTGTCTGAAGAAAAAAGTGGATGTTGGGGGCTCTAGAAACAACTGGTAGTCCTGATCATGCGAAAGATCACATCCCATTTCTGTCGCATTACACCTCAAAGACCGAATTCTTGTGCTACGTGCTGCTCTACCTGGTGAAGATGCCTTTCCCACCTGTGACCAGACCTCGGAGCCTTCCCAGCACGGGCAAAGAAAAACTTTCAGGACCGTCGCCTGTCATTCCGATCAAGACTGTGGAGGAGAAAAGTCCTGTGAAGGAGCGCCTCAAGAAGTTGAACAAGAAGGCCTCGCCTCACAAAAGCAAGTTGCCCACCAGTCGAGCCACTTCTGGCTTGAGGATGGAGGGTAAAAGCACCTTGATTATGACTTCAAGACCCAATGATCCCTCAAGTTCTTCATCCCCAACTTCTTCTAAAAGTACTTCTGATATTAGTACCTCTGGAACAAATTTGGCTACAACCTCCTCTAGCAAGAAGATGATTCCAGCAACAAGCATCCCAACAGACCGGATCTTGACCTCCGGATCAAGCCAGGGATTAAATAGCAAATCTAACTTTTCTCTCAACCTGACACCTGAGGCCACTTTGATCCTGCAGAAACGTAGCCGTGAGAAGCTGCTCCGTGGCAGCGCTGGCACCGTACCGGCACCAAAACAGAAAGGCCGTCTACCTACCAAGTCGGGTTCTCGATCCAACATCCCACTGGTGAAGATCTCTCTTCTGAACGACCGCCACCGATATGATGACGTGGAATATGAGGAAGACAACGAGGAGAGTGTGGATCAAAGCGTCCTACTGAAATGTTCTGAATGGTTGCAAGGGGTGGAAAACGCCGCCGGAGCTACAGTCCTGGGAAGAACAGACAAAATCAGCCAGAAGAGCATTTAACATATCTGATGCTACACGTGCTATTGACTGTGACTTGAGAAACATTGCAGTTTTGAGTTGTGGATGACCAATATTGGTCCTGATCCCAATAACTAAAGAGCTGGGTGCCTTATGGCTGGTATATCCAGAACATTTTTTTGCTTCGTTTAATGGCAGACAATTAGATGTAGGGGCATGGTTGCAACATTTCATTTATCTCCAATCAGAAACAAGCTAGAGTGATGATGACACTCACACTGCACATGGCAGAAAAAAAAAAATCAAGGAGATTTCTGAGCTGCTCCAGGATTTATTGATGAAAAACTGTTTATGAACGTATTTATTTTCTTGAGCTTTGTTTTTGTTATACTGTTGTGACTTTTTATGTGATTCAGCTCAAACTTATATGGTTTAAATGAGTTATATGTTAACTTTAAGCTGTATGGTTAGCATGTATCAAGGTAGCCTTGTTTAGCTGGCACATGAGGTTTTATCATGGCTGACAGGAACGGGGACAGTTGCAACAGTTCCCATCAGCCATGATAAAATGATCATGAACAAATAGAAATAATACAAAATAGTTTTTAAAACATGAAAATAGGCTAAATAAAAGTTAATTGCCTCACAAATTGTTCCATTCTTCCTATGTTACTAAAAGCCTACTGTATTTTATATCACTTTGAATATTTGACATCTGAACATAAGGCCTATTCATCTAGATAAATCTATAATTGTCATCTAATCAAAGCTGATGAAACAAATAACACTGTTATTATTATAACTTACATTTATCATATTAATCATTTTGCTTACACTGACATACAGTATATTGTATTTGTAACATTGCAACCATCTGACTCCTTATATTCAAAAGCAAATTGTGAAAAATATAGACTCTGTAATTATCTTTAAATGGTTTACTCTTAATAGAGAGATGTAAGATTATTGTATAAACAATTGGTTTGTCTAATCCAAACCGTCTCTGAGTAACGGAGCCAAATTCACCAAGTGTTGGAACGGTCCCCAGTCTCCCCTACATATAATTGGAAAATTTATTTTACACAGCATCTCTAAAGTGGAAAATTTAATGTTTACATTCACATTGACACAGAGACTTCAAACCCGATTTTGGGAAACTAACACTTGTTAAGTGTTTATGCACACAGTAATTGGCTTATTTTGATTTATGATGATTTATGGGTTTAGCACTACTGTAGTACTGTAAGACAATTGAGATTAATGGGGGTAAACAATTGAGATTGAGAAACAAAACATTCATAAAAAGATGTTGTGCACTAATCTGACCTGGAATAAAAGCTGATCTTCATCATATCACACCTCATTGCTGTCTGTAAGACATCAAGCCCTAACTCGCCACTAAGAGCACACATGACTCGCAGATATAGCTGTACTTTACTATAAGTAGCCTAAAGGGAAAGATTTAGACAGGCTTAGCAACAAACAACATTGCACACTCGTAACACTTGATCTCATTAACAGACAGTTGCCTTCACTTTTAACCCATTAGCAAACATCGTAGAAGTAACCAATGGTTAGTTACATCAATCCCAAATAGAAATGACAGGAAGTGGAGTGCTGAGGTACTCGAACATTCACTCTGTTGGTTGCTTTAATGTTTACTAAAAAAAAAAAAAAACCCGTAATATTATGAAATATTACAATTTAAAACGTTTTATAATTGAATATTTTTTAAAAGTGTAATTTTTTCATGTTATGGTAAAGCTGAATTTTCAGTATAGTCCTCCATTCTTCCGTATCGCATGATCCTTCAGAAATTATTCTAATATGATGATTTGCTGCTCAAGAAACATTTTGTATTATCGACTTCGAAAACAGTTGTGCTGCTTTATATTTTTGTGGAAAGCATGATACTTTTGTTTAGAATTCTTTAATACATCCTTGCTGAATAAAAAAATATTTAAAAAAAATCTCTCATAGTAACCAATCTTTCTCGATTGCAGTCTATGCTAAATCAAGTCTCAAAAGCATGAAAACTATTGTATTTAGTGCCAAACAAGCGTGGTTTAAGTGTTACAACAATAATTCAAAGAAATCTGAATGTAGCTTTTTGGCAAATACACCGACTTTATGATTTTAGGGAATATTTAAACAACATTTACAGATGTAATCAATTGACTATTATATATATATATATAAAAATCAAGTAGTCTCTCTTGATAAAATCACAGCATTTATTGTAAAGTGTATTGTTCCTGGCGAAGACTAGATAAAGCCAAAAGGTCATTGTTCAACATTTTTGCATGTGTTTTACATACATCCAATAAGCTAAACATCCCTCCCATAACAACTCGCGATGAGAGAATTTGAGTAACAAAGTAGTTTGAATGCTCCATAACCTCAATGCCAGGTGTTTGTATAAATCTCCTGCGAGTGCACTACAAGGAATTTACCAAAGGGACACAATCGGACACCATCTTCAATAGAACAAAACATTCGAACTCGATTTTTGTGGAGGACTCCTGACAATCCCGTCACTTCACTTTTCAGCTACACAACTCTGAAATCATCACAGTATGCTGAAATTATAGATTTTATATTCAATGATTTCATAATGAATTACAATAATCTAACTATTATTTACAAAATTTTTAGCTTTGAGACTTTACAAATATGATGGCTGATATTTCAGATGGATGAGTTGGATGAGGCTCAGTTGAAGAAACATGTGGACAGTCTGAAGCAGCAGCTACAGCTAAAAAGAGAGAAAACATCCGCCTCTCTTCCAGAGTGAGTATCTATCTATCTATCTATCTATCTATCTATCTATCTATCTATCTATCTATCTATCTATATCTGCATATTTAACATTCATATATAAATAAAAATCAGAATAAATGTGCTATTATTAAATATACTGTATATTTTATATATATATATATATATATATATATATATATATATATACCTATGTATGTATTTTTGTGCAGTTCCAAGTTTAGTGTAGTAAATTAAGTAAATACTAGGAGTGAAGAATTTAACAGCTTTTCCTATTTGCTATTTTCTATCTCCCTTTTATCCATTTATTTTTTAGGTTAACTAAATGGATAGAGGAGAAAATGAACGAGGATCCATTTCTGAATCCAGACTTACTGAAGCAGAACCCGTGGGTGGAGATAAGCAAATGTGTTATAATATAGAGCTGTCAATCATCACTATGGCAACAGGAGTGACTTACACCGCCTAACTTTGACTAGGATGGACAAAAATGCAAATTAACTAATTCTGAGTAAATCTGCTTTGTTGTTTGCTCTAGTCAGGCCATCACATTATGAAAAGAAAGAAAGAAAAAACTGCTGTTACTCAGTGAAAACATGTATTTATAAAAGTGTAAGAAAACTATACAAGAATACAATAAAAGAAAAAGATGAACCAGTGCTTTTTGTTTTTTTGACATTTTAGGTTTTTTTTAAACTATACAGAACAAGATTCAGAACATTTTTTGTTTTTATGTATTGATTTAAGATGGTAAATTAACTTTAAAGTAACTCCCGAATGTAAACGTTTCTTCGCACTGCATTAGACACACCTTCATTGAAACGAAACCATACATCACTGTTACCCACAGCTTTACCAATATGCACCACTTCGCCTGCTTTGCCATCTTCACCTGCAGAGAGAAGTGATATCAGCTCATTTTTAACATAGGTTATGCAGAACACTTATATTGTATATATGTAAGCAATAAGGTACGAGACATTGTTAGGCACGACGGCAGGGCATTGTTAGGCACGACGCGAAGCAGAGTATTCACGATACAGCACTTGCCTTGAGTACCTTATTGCTTTTATAAAACAGTTACCACTAAATAAAAGTATTAAAGTAAAAAAAAAAAAAAAGTATTATTGCAACTTTCATGAAGTAAAATCACTAAAAGCCTTCCTTCCGCTAGAAAAAAAAGTCCCCGACTGTGAACAGCAACAACGTTCCAATGTGTAATATGCCTGAAAGCTCAAATAAAAACAACATAGGAACTGCAGTGTTGCGCAGCGATAAATAGAGCCGTTGGGTGAACCCACCATAGCCGTGTTTTATTGTGAATAAAGCACAGTTATTGACCAATCAGAATCAATGATTGGAACTAACAGTTTTATATATTTATATATATATATATATATATATATATATATACACACTGTATATAGCGCAAACAACACACCTGTAGTGGTGATCATAGGCTTCTCCTTGGGTGCAATGGCTCGTCCAAAGAAATCCAATTCAGGCTATAACCGTGGGAAGGATAAATAAACAAGTCATCAGGTGAGAGCACTTTGACCCTGATCCACTATTAACCCAATTAATCTTGGGTTATTATGAAGCATAAGTCAAGCATATATAAAGAGAGACAGAATGAGAAAAATAATTTAACATGGTGGCACAGAATCACTGTTTAGTGCAAAATCCTGCATCTTATTCACATACCACTCACAGGCTAATTTAACCAGGTGCTTTATGTTCTGGTTTGGCATTTTAACTTTGGTCATAATTAATAGTGCTCATTTATATTATCTGCATTTATAACTGGTTAGTTATAGCTTAAGTTTCACACAATGCCAGAGTGAAGTTGTGAATCACTAATCCCAGCATCAGATTTGTTATGGTAATATTCAATGAAGGACTGGACTTAAGGGAAATACAATTTAAAATGTGATTTTTATGAGCGTAGGAAGGATTGATGGTAATTCAAGGACAGATTTATAGTGGTTTAATATAGATGCTTTACCCTGGTTTCCACCACAGTCTGTTTAACAATGTTCTCCAGCCTCTGCTGATGGTTCCTGCTTGTCGGTTTCTTCACTTCAGTTTTCTTCTCCTCTTGATTCTTATTAACTGACTCTGTCTAAACACACAAAACAAATAATTTGCAACATGAACAATTCTGTAAATTAAATATTCTTGTGTACAGATTTGTATATAGTTAGTTTGGGGGCTGTACATCTGTCCAAGCACATAACACAATGGTTAATCAGATATTTAAAGGATAAATACATGTTTAATTGCAATATCAACGTCTGTTAGTCTAACTACGCAAAGATAAACCTGGTACTGCAGCCGGACAAAATAGTGGACATTTTCAAAATCATAATGTTTTAGTCCAACTGAAATCAATCAAAGTATAGGTAAACATAATATTGTCCATACAGCAAATTAGTGGTGAAACAAACTAAATCAAACCCATTTTAAATCAGTAAGATTTCCAAATGCAAAAGGTGCAGTGTCAATAAATGGGTATTAATTATTCTGAAGGCAAAACAAAAGCAAGATTAGACAGAATTCATTGTCTCAGAAATCATTGCTCTGTGTGAGTGTGTGTGTGTGTGTATATATATGTATATATATATATATACAGAGAGAGAAAGAGAGAGACAGTTGACAGTTGCATTGACAGGTTCGTTTGAGACGCACACCAACAATTTGGCCTCTTTTTTTTTTTGTGAACAATTTTTTATTTTTTTTATTTTGTATTTGCTTTCATATTAACAAACATATACATATTCACCACCAACATACATATGCACCAGAAACACAACATAAATACCTTCATTCTCTCACTCACACATCTCAACTTTACCCACACACCACAACACTCCTACACACACAAGAATATGCATAAAATTGAACAATTTTTAACCTTATCTAATCCCCCTCTACCCTCCCTACTGAGTGATCTACCGCACCCCCCCCCCATCCCCACCCCCACCCCCAGCAAGAAATTTAGTAGCTTTAAGAGCTTCTGACCAAGACCTTATGGTCTGCCCTTTAGCACCATGAGAACGTGCTGCAGAAAGCTCCAACGCAAGAATGTCTAATGCCTAGTTCACACTACATGATTTTAAAATGTCGGGCTGAACTGTGCAGTTCACACTACATGACTTGCTCTCAGTGAAATCATGAGTGTTCAAGTTGTTTAGCTGTTCACACCACACAACACAACGTGATTGATCCACAACAGGAGGTAACTCACTACACGAGTTAACAACGCACTACATAGAGATACAACCACGATCGGATGATAAGAGCATATCATTTGTGACTCAATGAGAGCTGTTTCAGTACTATAATACGGTCTAAATCCTGAAAATAATCAACCAAATAACGAGTTGACAACAACACGATTCTATCTGGTCTAGAAACCATGTTTTGTAACGAAAAACCACGCAATAAAACGAACCAGAAATGACGCGAAACTGCAGAGAAGAACACAACACGCGAATATGGACGTCAGACAGAAACTAGTGCTGCACACTGTTTGCTCGACGATATGCTCTGAGAAAAAAAAATGCAAAAAAGAAAAAGTAAGATTTACCTGGTGTCCTCAACCCATGCGTTGCTATGATTGGCTGTACTCATGACATCACTGAGATTGAGTCGCGCGACTGCGCGAGATATCTAGCATGCTAGATATTTTTCTGAGCTCGGTGACCTGTCTGCGAGCTGTCTGCGAGCTGTCTTTGATGCGTTGTTGGCTCTTTCACACTAACTGATTGGCGAGCGTTAATCGTCCGCTAATCGCCCGCGATTTGCACGCGATAACACCCTGACTTGTCGGCGACTCAACGATTTGCAAATCGGGCTTAAATCGGGCTTAAAATCACGTAGTGTGAACTAGGCTTAACAGGAAGTTCCACCAGTGATGCAACGAAAGAGTATGTGGTGGTTTCCACCTTGTTGCCAGCATTTTCTTTGCAGCAGTTAAGCCAGAAAGCCAAATTCTTTTTTCATGTCTAGACATTGGAACCTGAGAGTTATCATTTAACAAGCATAAAATAGGACAGCAAGGAATCTCCTTATTAAGAATTTCAGATAAAAACTTAGTGACTTGTGACCAAAAGGACTGTACTTCAGAGCATTCCCAAAACATATGAAGAAAAGTACCTATACTGCCCTGTGAGCACAGTTGACACAGTGGAGATGGCTCTAGCTTGATCAAATATCTAATTCTAGGTGTTAAGTAGGTTCTGTATATAAATCGTAAATGAATAGATCTATGATTGGGATTTTTAGAAGCTTGGTTAATGTTATTCCAAATGGTTTCCCAAGATATTGTAGGGGAAATGAGGCTGTAATCGTTTTGCCAAGTTGTTTGAATTGTAATTGGTTTATATAAACTTTGCATTATTTGGCAATAGATTGTAGATACGGTTCCTTTGGTATTCACATTATACATTTGTTTTGTAAAGTCATGTCTAGGAAGATTAGAATCCCATGGAACTCCATATGCCTTTAAGGCAGAGCGAAGCTGCAAATATAAAAAAAACGAGAATCCAGGTAAATTATAACTTCCCTTCAAATCTTGAAATGTGCGGAGACCATTGGTATTGAATAACTGTCCTAGTAAATAAATCCCATTATTCATCCACATTGGATAAGCCACTGTTCGACCACCCAGCAACAAATTATAGTTATAAAATATTGGAGTATGATAATGCCACTTTTTTTTAAAATGAGTATTATTAGTTGCAAGTTTCCAAGTTAGTAAAAGATTAAAAATAATAGGCCCAAAGCGCATTTTGGCTTGTTTTAATGGAACTTCTGCATAAATTAGATCTTGTAATCTATGCGGATGAGCTAATTTGTCTTCCAGAGGGCGCCAACAAACAGGTTTTGTGGGGTCTAACCAGAGTTTTATGGTACGCAATACAAAACACCAATGGTAAACTTTGAAATTTGGAACTCCCCAACCTCCCACTGATTTCTCTCTCTGAAGAGTTGTAAGTTTAATCTTTGGTCTTTTGTTATTCCAAATAAACGTAGTGATTAAACTATGTAAGGTATCCCAATACTCAATATGTGGACTTAAAGGCAACATAGAGCTAAGAAAATTTACTTGCGGTAACACTATCATTTTTACAACAGAGATCCTCGCATCGAAAGATATAGGCCTTAGTGTCCACTTCCCTAGGTCTTTTTTAATCTTTTCCAAAACTTTCATATAATTATTATTAACCGTAGATTCCAAAGTTGGAAAAATATCGATTCCTAGATATTTAAATTGATTTACAATTGGGATCTTAATTTGTGTTATATCCTCACCAGAGCTTAGGGGAAGGAGAGCAGATTTCTGCCAGTTTATTTTGTATCCTGAGATATCACTGAAGTCTGAAAATAATTTCAGGATATAAGGGAATGAATGTGAGAGTTTATTAATAAAGAGAAGCACGTCATCTGCATAAATTGATACATGATGGATAGTAGAATGTATTATTATAGGTGCAATGTTTGTAGATTGACGTATTTTTTGAGCAAGCGGTTCAATAGATAAAATA